AAGTCAGGAGCCTCTGGCCTTTGTTAGCCTTGTATATTTATTTAATTTTAGTTCATTTATATGTTTTGGAGTTTAGTGTGATGTCCATTTTCATTGAACTAGTACACAATTTTGTTCAGGGGCCAGCTGAAGCCCGCCTCCGGGTATTTTCTCGCTGTTTTGAAGACCAATTGGTGGCCTTCGGCTGTTTTCTGCTCTTTGGTCGGGTTGTTGTCTCTTTGACACATTCCCCATTTCCATTCTCAATTTTACTTACATGTCTTATGTCACATACATGTATGTTGCTGATAATTTTTGCTATATATGTTTTATCTATCTATTATTGTTTTCAAGATAATAGACGAAAAAGAAAAACATCTTAAAATTCATCTGTTAAGGGCAATAACACCTGTAAAAAGTTGTTGAAAATGTTGATGCAAAAAACCTAATGTAGATCTCAACATTCTCAACATTCTTAATACGTCAGATTTTCTTTATCTATAGCAATCCCAAGATAAATGACAAAACGAGTATTGTATCCATATTTAATTCTTAGAAATGTCGGTCATGTTGGTTTGCATGCGGGGTCATCGGATACTTTATTTAAACTAGATACCCCATCTTGATTGTAGCCAAGTTTGGATAAATTTTTGCGCAGTTGTTTCATAGAAGATCTTGTAAAATGTAACGGACGACGACGAACGACGGACTCCAAGTGATTGGAAAAACTCTCACTGAAATCTTTGGGAGTAAAATTAAAAATTTTGAAAAAATTAATAATGCAATCTAAACAACTATGTATAAGGATTTTAGCGTCTTTTCTTTTTTCAAAAGTTGAATAAATAAGATTAATAAATAAGTTCCACAAATGAAAAAAAATAAGTTGAATAAATTGAAAAAATGTCATTAAATGTGTTTGATTAATCAGTTAAATAAATAACTTTATATATTGAGAGAAAACTGATTTGAAGAAAAAACTTTCAGGATCCGCTCTATGGTAGAGCTGTCAGCATCAGTTCAAGGGTAGAACTATCAGAATCTGTTCTAGGGCAGAACTATCAGAATCTGTTCTAGGGCAGATCTGTCCTAAACAAATCTACGACAAATATGTCACAATCTGTTCTGGACTAGAAATGTTTGTCTGTCCAAAACTGTTCTAGGTTAGAACTGTTCAACACTGTTAAAGAGTAGAACCGCTCATTCAGAAACTGTTCTAAAGTTTGTTCTTGACCAGTTCTCCTGACAGTTACTTGCTTATTTTAAGATTGGTTATAACTGAGCCCGGCTGTTAATGTCTGACTTTTGAGTGGATTTTACTGTTTATGTTTTTATCAATGTCTTTTAAATATGCCTTTAAAATACTAAATCCCTGGGATGTGTTTTAGTTGATTTTAGTCTCTGATGCATGATTTTTTTATTATTAATTGTTTTTGGCTTTAAATTAGCTGTCAGTAACTGCGAGTACTCTCAAATCGTACTTTCTTGTTAATTTGACCTGTTGATACTATTTGTAATGCTTTTTTGTTATTTGATGTTATTCAGGGTTATATCTGGTCTATATACCAGCTTTGTTAAGTGTTTGGTATTACTATAAATTTTCACTTCGTACTATGAACATCCAAATTATTTATTTTGTAAAAATATTTCCTTTTTCTATTGGAACTGTACACGTATACCTAACAACAAAATTATTTTCATTTACCTGTGTTTAAAGTTATTGAAAATGGCTGATATTTTTGTTCGAGCATATTGTTTTTCTTAAATAGTTTAACATTTCATACCGATATAGCATGTTACTTTTATTATTCTTCCCTTAGTTTATTTATTTTGTATTTACATTGTATCATAGGTCAAATTTATTTGGTCAGTGTATGTTCACTGGTGTTAATATGTCCTTTGATTGAGTTAAGCTATTTCAGTTGATATTTTATAGTGTGTCTTCCTATGTTGTGATGTTACATTATTGTTTCAGGAAAAAGGGTGAAGGTTTGGTACCATTAAAAAGTTTAAACCTGCTGCATTTGTTTGCACCTGTCCTAAGTCAGGAATCTGATGTTCAGTAGTTGTCGTTTGTTGATGTGGTTCATAAGTGTTTCTCGTTTCTCGTTTTTTATATAGATTAGACCGTTGGTTTTCCCGTTTGAATGGTTTCACACTAGTAATTTTTTGGTCCCTTTATAGCTGACTGTTCGGTGTGAGCCAAGGCTCCGTGTTGAAGACCGTACATTGACCTATAATGGTTTACTTTTATCAATTTTGACTTGGATGGAGAGTTGTGTCATTGGCACTCATACCACATCTTCTTATATCTACTTTATACTCTTTTTGTATAAATACGGATTTCATAATTTTATTTTTTTTTGTTCAAAGATATTGCTATTTCAGAAATCCTACATATTTGTAGAATTAAATTAAAATCTGATGCCTTTTATCTGACATGATCATGATTTATTACACACATGACTTGGTTTACTTTTACGAAATATCTGTGTCAAGGATGATCTAAAATACACTTATGTTTTTGTATGGTATAAACTGTTGGTATATTTTCCCTCCTCGATTACGATATCACCAGCCCAGTTGTCATCTCTTTTTTAATTGACATAAAATATCACCATGATCATTAATATGTTATTTTTTTGTGAATTTATTGTTTAGAAAATGTTGAATAGTTCGAAACATTGAGGTTTTTATAGCCAAGGCACAGATAACTTTAGCCCTATTTGACATTTCTTTTAAGAATTTTCGGTTTATTGCTTAACTCGTAATTGATATGGCATTGCGACGTTTTTATTTTGAGCGTCACTTACGAGTATTATATAGACGAAAGGTGCGTCTGGCAAACGCAATTAGAAGCGTGGTACCTTTGAGGAATTGTATGACTCTCGTCACGATAAAACCTTTTTAGAACTGGTATCTCGTTAAGCAATACCCAATCATTCTAGCTACATGTATCATGACGCTCTTCTTTTGCTTTGTAAACAAACATATTTTTCTAATTCCAATAAAATTGGGATGCACGTGCGAGACGTCACAATTAAAATTACTATCACTTTTGAATGCCACTGGATATTAGGAAGGAACATATTTATGTTGTTGCTAGCTAAAGAAATTAGAATAAAATTTTTCTAAAAGTAAGTCGACTTATAAATTGTTACACGGTTGGTTTTTTTAAACGCTATTGCTTTACCAAATTAAAAACGACAGCCTTTCAAACGTGACTAATTACGGAATACGAGAGGTGACCGGATATAACTTGATACGTACAACACAACAGGTATATAATATGCACTAGTGAACAGGATCAGCGCATCTGTGGGCAGCTCCTGAGTTATTTTTTTTTTGTTGTGGCCTCGTGTTACTTGATCTTTTGTAGTAGACCTTATAGTTTTATAGGCAGACACTGGTTAAAACTGTCTTTAGTTCATCAAAACTAGTAACCGTCCCTCAAGAGTTTTTTGTAATGTAGAAATGCGATCATAATTACATTGTAAATCTGAAACCTTTACTGTTTTAAATCTATTAAAGAAGTTTATTTAGTTTAACATCACATAAAATAAATCAGATTTGTTTTCAAGCGTTGATAGAGTATCTCCTTTTCAATTTGATTTTATCAGTTTTTAATCATTTAAATTGATGCGTATCGACTTGTTTTAATTTCAACATCTGAGCTGTACACAGTTTAATATGCTTTTAACATCATTTCTTCTTGATGGTCTAGTTAAAAAAACTACACCATGAAAGATTAATTGATGTTAAGAGCATATTAGGGAGATACTTTATTTACTTTTAATAAAAAGATCAGATTATTTTTAAGTCAAGTTAACGCTATCAAAATTCCAACAATCACAAGATTGTCACACGTTTAAACGATATTTTATAAAAAGGCCAAACTATGTATTTCTGTGTTTTGCATTCGCTTTCTGTACGGTTTGCAATGGTCTTGGGATAACAAAACAAAACAAAATTATGTTTCAGAAAAATGTTTGAAATCGAAAATAAAATTAATGGCTTTATTTTTTATGCATTTTGTTGTTCGTGACTGACTCGTAGGTTTAAGAGAAAATGATCAGAAAAGACAGGCATGTCGTTACACTTAATGTAAAAAAATATATCAACTAATGTATCTATTGGTTATTATACTATTTGATCTTGAACTGTATAATTAATGCAATGACACTTTCCACGATGCATCATGTGTATGTATACAAAACAACATAGTTTAATTACGTAATACAAAATGAAGAATACAAAAGCTTAAAAACTGTGATTAACATGTAATAGCATTGAAAAATTTGAGTATCATTTTAGAGATCAAAGATTTTTTTGTAACTTTTGTCATTTTGTCAATCGATCGATCTCTAAGTAAGACTTGAACAGTTTCATAGTATGTAGTTGTTCGATGTGAATCACATTGAGACTGTATTTGAAATGTAACATATAATCAGTTACTTGTTAATTTTTACCATTAGTACAATTTATCATAACTCTCCTGGTATTTCATGAATACGACATATTAAAAAGCCGTCACAATAACTTTTTTACTGATTTTTCCTCGTCGTGATAAATACGACAGATGCCACTTATCGGAATTTGAAGCTGCCTAAACTTCCGGAGAACTTGACTATAAAAGCATTAAGGGGTTCACGTTGCATAATTTTTCGTTCCCCTAATTTCCCGTGTACAGTTTTGTCAACTGTTGATTTATGTTTGTATTTGTTTGCCAAGTTGTTGTAATACTAGGGTTTTCTTCGACGTTTGGCCATTGATATCTGCATACTTTGAACCATCTCGTTTGTGGTGTGGTAGTGTTGCTTTTTCTCTAAAAGAGATATCGAATATATCGTTCCGATTATATTTCACACAGTCAAACTGACGGCACTCTTTAGCAAGTAGTTTATTGTAGGATTCAAGTTAACCTTTGGGGGTTATAAATTATTGTCTGGAGCATTCAATTATGATATGCAGATGAAGTCCTCAATTAATTAATCAAAGAAACTATATACAGGGAAAGACGTATATCCGCATTTTCTTTTTACCTAATTTTATTTTGCTACAATTTTAAACATTTAAATATCGATACATTTACAGTTACTTGTTATAATTACAACTGACTTGTAAGTAATAAATTGTGCTAGATTTTATGAACTGTTGTCCAATATTTCCTTCTCTGCGGACTGTCTCCCTACAACAGCTTGTTGCTCGTTAGCTTTGGTTTCAACAGTATCACAGTTAACAACATTTTGCTCATCTACTGTTTCCAGTCCATCAGGCAGGGTATTAGTATCAAGTCCCTTGGATTTTTCGATTTCATCACTTGACGTCTTTACGGTAAGATTTTGTTCTACTTCCTCAAGTTCATTATCCTGGCTGTAATAGGCATCTGGGCTTTTGTCGCTATTCCTCATAGTCACTCCAAACGTTGATTTTCTATAATAAACATGCAAGTTACCTCAATGTATCACGGGTGTCGATTAGGAAGAAGGAACTGCTTACAAACTTAAAGCCCTTGGGATCTCCCCTGGCATATGTTATAATCGTGTTGTTGAATCTCTTATTTTCTGTGTAGTATTTTTATAAATATTGTCTGTTCGTATGCTATTTAGAACATGGTCATTTTTAATTCCACCATGAGTATCTTTTCCCTATAGTTTCTTGCAACGCAGGAAATTTAAAATGGGTTAGACTCTGTGCTATACTTTTAAAAATCCATTTTGTGCAAGATGTTTCTTCTTAAGGATCACTCTTAAAAAGTCGTAGAATATCATTATAGGTTCTTATTTGTATGTAAATCATTAAACATGGGAATAACAGTTCCATTTATAAATTGCCATTTTCATCTTCTAAACTTACCCACTAAAACAAGTATCTGAGATGGTTTTCGTATTTAGATAATAACAAATATTTTAAAAGTATTGGAAACGTTGAAGACTGTATCAATCACAGATCATAATGATCAGGTTCTGAATAAACATTTTGATTCTGATTTTAATCAGTGTAATATTAATAAGAATAATTAAACAAAAAACACATATGGCGGAAAAAGACAATAAATTCATAAGATTAATAAAGAATGCAAATACATATTACTTATCCAATGGCGGAGAGGCTTAATATTTAATAGGAGTAGAGGTACAATTTCAAAAAAAAAATGTATAATTTCCCTCTGATACAGGCGCGAGCGATATTATGGTGTCGGACACATGAAATGTATAAAGTGTTATTTTCACTTTTTCATAAAACATGGCATTGAGTATTGTAGCTAAACTATCATAGAGTCTGTTCATCATGCACGAAGTATACTATTATTGTTGAGGGATAATAAAGCTATATCTAATTAAGTTTGAGAACGTAACAATAACATTAATTTTTATTTCAATAATTAATTTTTATAGTATCTGCAGATACCAACTTATGCAAATTTTTCACTAAAATGAGGTAGGAGAGACGAGAAAAAGAATGTTAAAATACAGTTAGAAGCAACTGCAATATTTGATGAACATTAATCGGAATAAATGGTTCATGTAAAATGCATTTGTTTTGTCTGACCGATGTTCAATCGATCTTACATTAACATAAATTATTCATCAGTTTTCATCAGTTAACAGGCAATTTTTCTTTATTCTATATTTTTTTTTACCTTTTTTTCCCTGTTTTTTTATACAACTTATATTTAAACTAGTTATTATTCTCTTTTATTATTTATCCAATTATTCTCCACTCTATATTTTTGGCCTATTGTTCTAACTTCTGATAGGGTCTCGATGGTCGTATGGTTTAAGTAGTTCATCGACTGTTAACCTCAATTAACCCCACAACTACCCTCAATATGTATAATCACCACACAACCTTATATGTGTAAGTTTATCGATTATCTATTGAAATAAAATCGAAATATGTTTAATGCTATCTTGGATGTGAATGGAAAGGGAAATATAGATGTTAATGTGCAGCAACAAGACATTGACCTAATATTATGGTTCACAATGTTAAATTTACCTTTTTCTTCTAAATAGCACACACATGATAGCAAGAAATACAATCATAACAAGTCCCAACGCTACAAATGTCAACCCGACTAGTAATGATGTATTCGCTGTAAAATAAACAAATTTATATATACATGTAATAGAATAGCATGATTACGTATTACCATCAAATATAATCTTTAGAAAATTGAGAATGTAAATGGGGAATATGTCAAAGAGACAACAACCCGACCAAAGATCAGATAACAGCCGAAGGCCACCAATGGGTCTTCAACACAGCGAGAAAATCCTGGACCCGGAGGTGGTCCTCAGCTGGCCCCTAAATAAAATTGTATACTAGTTCAGTGAAAATGGACGTCACACTAAACTCCGAAACATATAAAGGAACTAAAATTTAAAAAAAAAACATACAAGACTAACAAATGCCAGAGGCTCCTGACTTGGGACAGGCGCAAAAAATGCGGCAGGGTTAAACATGTTTAGTGAGATCTCAACCCTTCCCCTATACCTCTAGCCAATGTAGAATAAAGACACACATATCAATACGCACAGTAAAACTCAGTTTAAAAGAAGTCCGAGTCCGATGTCAAAATAGGTAACAAAAGAAACTAAGCAAAATGACAATGATACATAAATTATCAAAGGACTACTAGCAGTTACTGACATGCCAGCTCCACACCTCAATTAAACTGATTGAAATATTATGTCTTCATCATATGAAAATCAGGTACAATCCCTCCCGTTAGAAGTTTAGTATCATACAATCATAAAATATATGACAAGAACATAACCCGTATCATGCCAACAACTGGTTTTAGAATAAATGTTTATTTCTGATCAAAGACCCTATAAGTGAATCAATATTAATACCAACATATGCAATCCTTAATGACCTGACAACAGTATCGTAACTATATCCCTTCCAAATAAGTCTGTTTTAAGGTTTGGTTGGCTTTTGAGGTGAATGCCTACATTTTTGTGCTTTGTAAAGAATATTACCATAAAATATTGGATGTGAAATACCTGAATGTATAAGATGTCTGCATGTTTATTTATATTTACGAATGAAATCCTTGAATCGATGATAAAATTTAGTAAATGTTATGACTAGTTTGTGATATCGAAAACCCTGGTGTTATAATTTTCCAGTAATACAGAGATTTGTTTCGTTGAAATCAAATACGTTGTTACATACACGAGCGAATCGAACAAGTTGAGATATATGAATCCCATAAGATTGTGACAAGGGAACGTCAGCACTAAAAATAAATAAATAACAATAGGAAATGAAAAATCATCTCTTGCATCATAAATTTTGGTATTTATAGTACATTTGTAGCATACAAGGTTAACATTTGAAGCAGAACATGCTTTCCATTCATTAAAGCTTAGTACAAGCAGTATACTTATACAATTGAAAGTATATAACAATCTAATTAAAATCACAGAGAACAGCACTATACATTTTAAAACTTGACCCTTTAGTAAGAATGATCGAGGTTATGTTATAGAAATTTTTGACTTTTTTTACTTCCATGTTCTGGTTTGATAGAACCGATATTGTGCAAAAGACAATGTGAAACATTTGTGATGTTTTGGCAGAGAGAAACAACTCATTTTTAAGCCAAACTTGTCAACGGCAAAACATAGCTATAAGGGAAAGGCTGGGTATTTTGTATAGGTTTAGTAACAGGGAGCATACTCTGTTCATTTTAGGAATTGTCCCTTCGTCACTATTTCAATTTTAAAAAAACAATCTCGTTATCAATTTGATAATAAGCGAACAATACCAACAGGGGCTTTTGGTAAAATAATACCCGATAATATTTGAACAGAATCTCAAATTTAAGTATTATAATCATATAGTGTGTATCATTCTTTTTTAATATATTCATTAAAGGCTCTCTAGTTTTCATTGTTTTCAAGTTATAGTTTATGCCTTTCGGAATTTTGGGTACTCGATACTCGATGCTCGTCAACTTCTTACTCCCCCCCCCTTTTTTTGAACATCTTTTTGATTCGAGCGTCGCTGATGAGTCTTTTGTGGACGAGGAACAGGTCTGGCGTAAAACTATTTAATCCTGGTATATATATTTTGTTTATTTACAATCGTTAGGTCTAAGCCACTCCTGGAGGAGGTTTCTTCATGGAGGTATCAACAGCCCAGTAGTGAGCACTTCTGTGTTGACATGAATTATTATCGATATGTTCATCATTATAAATTAACTGATTATAAAACTTTGAATGTTTCGAAATACTAAGGGTTTTCTATCCTAGGAGTAGATTGTCTTAGCTGTATTTTGTAAGACCTTTCGTTATTATGGGTCATCGATGCCCTTCAACTTCGTACTTTATTTGACAATTTATTTTTTGATTCGACCGTCACTAGGGAGTCTTTTGCCGACGAGGCGCGCGTCTTGTGTTACATTTTTTAATCCTGGTATCTATGATGAGTTTATTCACAACCACTGTATCGATACCACTACTGGTGGATGTTTAATTGCTGAGGGTACCCGGAGCACAGGAGTCAAGACTTCGATGTTGACATGCATTATCATTGATATGGTAATTATTATAAATTAACTCATTACAAGACTTTGCATGTTTCGAAATGCTACGGATTTTTTACCCAAGGAGTCTTAGCTATATTTGGCAAGATCTTTCGGAATTTTGAGTCCTCGTTAATCTTCAACTTCGTACTTTGTTAAGCCATTTTAACTTTTTCGATTCGAGCGTCGCTGGTGAGGATTTTGTGGACGAGACTCGCGTTTGATGGCAATTAATTAAAACAGTAAATCCTGATATATATAATGAGTTTTTCATATATCTAGACTTCTTTATTTTGACCATACATTATATGACTGTTCTTTTTGCATACATATTAGCGGTCCTTTTCCAGTCTTGTTCCTACTAATTTTCGATCTCTGACAGTGTTTTGTGTCACTCCAATGACATTCAGAATATCTATATCCTAACATGTTATTCTTATGAAGTTACAAACAAACGAAAACAGTTGTTTTGCATCCGTTTTGGTATAACTAGTTCTATTTTTGCAGTTCGGTTAATTGAATTCATTGCATTGTTAGCGGTAAAATATATTCTTAATAAAGAAATCTTCTATTTCAGATTTTGTGACATCATCTACAATCAATGTATCCACGTCAAAGTAGATAGTTTGTACCTCGATCAAGCACACTCGGCATAAGCCATTTGTAATGTTTGGGTCTAAATAGCTGATACGAATTGAACTAAAATCAATGTTCTTTACATCGTGTTTGAATGTATATGTAGTTGATTCCTTTGATCAAATGATTCGCCAATTTATTTCGTGTACATTTTCGAAGATGAAAAACAGTTCCACCACAGCAGTAAGTACACATTTTCGAAGATGTAACAAAAGAATACTGTCGTTTTGCATTACTATTACAGATGGATTTTTTTGGTTTTCTTTGTTGATAAAGCAAATGTTGCTAGTTTAGAAAGCTGTTTTATGGGGTATTTGACACACCAAGTTGTTTGTAAGGACACTTACGTAGTATGGATATCAAGTACAGTTAATGAATATTTAGTCTTGAATCTTTGGTTAAAATTCATATAGAACTAAGATAAAACCAATGATAAAAAATAAACGATTTTGATTTGTAAATCTCGCCGCTGATGCACAAACTTTATATTAAAGTCTTTTGAAATTTCATTAAGTATGTGAATGTATCGCCCCACTTTACACAACAATAACCTCTAGAAAAAATATGCTTAATCTTAAATTGAAAATTAACACTACGGGGTCATAGGTGGAACATGAACTACTTACCCTTCCACAGCACCTGCATTCATCGCCGAATATTGTCCTGCTGTTCAGCCTTAAGTTTTTTGTGTAGTGTGATGTTATCTATTGTTTTTGTTGTTGTTGTTTTTTTTTAATTTGACTTATTGATTTGTATCTCAATTTGCTAGTTTCCCTTTTTTTTAATATTTATGCAAATGGATGACACAAACGTATTTAGTATTTTTTTTAAAGTTAAACTTATATCCGACTACCCTGCTCAACCTCCGCTAACCCGTATATGATTAACATTCATCACAATATGGATTCATTTTAACAAATCTGTATCTATACTTAGTAAGACATCTTCATTTGGTTGCTAATGAAAGAACTAAGTACAGACCCATAATACAGCGTACACATTTAACTTCTTTTCAATAGCTCATCCCTCTATTTCGTAACTTTCAAATTCATGTCCAAAAATAGCTTTATAGTTTGAATATAGAATTAATCATAGACTATCAAAACTTACATGCTGATTCATTTGACTTTTCTTCCGTGGATACTCCGTCTTCTATTAAACAGATAAATACATATTAGTAGATGGATACAATACAGTTTGCTTTTTTCATTATAAATTAGTACGTACAAAATAATTTAAATGTAAGAGTACCAAAGTGGATACTAATAAGCAGTATCTATAAACTAATTTATTATGTTCTGCAGTTCAGTTGACAAGTTTTTTTTTCGGGAGAGGTGATTTTTTTTTTTTTTTCTAATTTTTTGCCTTTTTGTTTTAAAGTGGTGTTCGGGTACTATGTTGTTGCCGTTTTATATTCTTTTATATTTATATAATCATTTCTTCAATTTATATTATCAATTTAAATTAATGTTGTCACCCCTGTTGAAAATAAAAACACACAATCATAACTCGAGACAATTAACACTAATCAAATACTAGAAAGTCAATGTTAAGCAAATACATGTAACCTATAAGAACATCAAAACGAAAAATGGCAAAAGAATATCGTTTAAAGTCAACATTAAGTTGAAAACTTATATAAGTATGATTTATGATCTGTAAGCTGAATGCATTTAGTCAAGTTTTAAAATTCAAATACGGAAAGCAGTACGGAAACACTAACTTTCTCGTATATCCAGTACACCAGCTAAGATACCAATGTAGAAAACAAAGCGTGTCGTACAGATTCCTGAATAGGTTATTTACAGTTTCGTATGCAAAAAATCTCTGATACTGTTTTTAATGCATTTTTTTCTGGGTCTGGTAAGTTTAAGAGAGAAAAAAAAAACTGTCATTCAAGTGATAGCTTTGGCTTGCTATAAAACAATGTTTAATCCACCATTTGTCTACATAACGAAATGCCTGTATGAAGTCAGGAAAATGACAGTTGTCTTCTATTCGTTTGATGTGTATGAGCTTTAGATTTTGCCAGTTGATAAAGGACTTTCTGATTTGAATTTTCCTTGGAGTTTGGTCTTTTTTGTTATTTTACTATTTAGATATAATTACATTTGGTACCGCTTAATCATGTTAATAGACACACCTGTGAAAGATTTTAAATGCAAAGGAAAAAAAAACACACACGCATGGAACTTATTTTACAACACGGTTAACCTTTCAAAACAGGTACGGTTTGGTTTGAAATACACATCAAACGTATACCAGTTTTTGTGCCTGGTTTAATTGTTCAGGGGAACAAATGGACAAGTACGTCTGGTTTGGGTTTCAAACCCAACCAGAATTCATGTATTGATTTATTTAAAAATCTGTACTCTTAAATACATATCATAGAAAAACCATCACCCATATATACATATTACTAGATATCAGCCATACAATTGACATGTCAATTAAATGTTAACGAAATAGACCATTCATAACACATGTAGTTAGATACAATAATTAGTCCATAGTTTTCAGTCAACATAACAAAAGACGAATATGCCTTACCCATTGACATTTATATTTCCACTCATAGACATTTTATCTACATACAATCACACCTCATTGGTATATATTAAACATTTCAAAAAGGGACAAATAGATAGATGTTGGGTTTTAGTGTCCGGCTATCTGTGTGGATATTGTGTACTTCATGGACCTATTCTTGCAGAGTTGGATCTGCAGTTGTTCTTTTCCCTTTTTTCTTGCTCCGACCTGGTGGTTGAGTCTGATACGGAGTGTCTTGTCGTTCTTGTAAGGCAAAGGCAGTTTGAATGGCCTCTGGATCTGGCATGGTTATCGGAGATGTGTGTGTGATGGTGTACGAAGTAGGTCGGGACCATCTAGGTCAAACCTATCAGTAAAATCTATCCTACTACCCTTACCTCTAGGTTTGGATGGAGTATAGAAGTATCGGCGATGGCATGCATTCTGGGAGTTGTATGGACTGGTTACAATGTCCGTCTTGATGTTGACACCCTCTGGTTCTCCACGATACTTTGTTGGTGTGAGTGGTATACCAATAACTGTGTCCCTGGCTTGAGTCTGACAGATGTTGTCTTCGTTTGTACTGAAGGTAAGTTACGGGGTAGCAGCTGAAGCAACGGCTTTTCAGGAGTCCATCCACTTGGTGAAACGCTGGTAATTTCGTCTCCTGGTAGATGGAGGCTTCTGTTTCCTTTGTAGGGCCGGCCTAGGTTTCCTGGATGTGGTGTCCAGGTCCTTGGCCTTGATCCAGGTGAGTTGGACTGTAACTTGGTTAGAACTAGCGTTAAATTTCCATTCTGGTTCTTTTCCTTCTAACTTCATGGTGGTTAGTAAAGCTTTCAAATCATTTGGAATTTCCTAATGAGCGCTCACGAGGTTGACGGTTCAAATTACATAAGTGACAAAAAAGCGACTAATATTAGCGGCATACCTATATATAGGAAAAGTCCCCATGCGCTTATCAAGCAATTGGTATCTATCGCGAACCTTAAACAACATAATTCATTGTTCAGGTCTTGAATACTCAGAATGATTCACTCTGTGTGTAATGTTTCCCTTTCTGTAAGGAATTAAATTATATAATCAATTTAAGCCAAAAGAACAAACCAACATCACCCGGAAACCAATCAGAACTATAGGTGTAAGACAACCAATTCCAAATCCCTATCTGTTTACTATATCAAAATTTTGCAATTTTCACAGCTTTCTAAATATTTTACCTTAAGTTTAACTTCATATATACCAGGTATATCCTGAATCATACTTGTGTCACCTTTCTGCATGCCAATTTTCAAACCATGTTTAAAGTCTTGTAGCGAAAAAGTACTGTTCGGAAGCCAATTACTACTAGAAATAACCCCTGGTTTTTCTTGAAATCTTATATTAGTATACTATGGAGCGCATTGATCCTCAATTTATAATGCAAACTCAAGGATGAGTTTTGCTCAAAACGGCCTTAATATATTTCTCTTTCACCAAAAGTTTCATTTCTACAACTTTGTTGGTGAGCTTAAGTAAACAATGACACCAAAAGCACTATTTTTGTCAGGGAAGGGCTACTTTTACATACGTGGTATGAGTGCCAATGAGACAACTCTCATCCAAGTCACAATTTGTAAACGTTAACCATTATAGGTCAAAGTACGGTCTTCAACATGAAGCCTTGGCTCACACCGAACAGCAAGCTATAAAGGACTCCAGAAATGACTAATGTAAAATCATTCAAACGGGAAAACCAACGGTCTAATCTATATAAAAAACGAGAAACGAGAAACACTTATGAATAGATATAGGAAGATGTGGTATGAGTGCCAATGAGACAACTCTCCATCCAAGTACCAATTTATAAAAGTAAATCATTATAGGTCAAGGTACGGCCTTCAACCACATCAACAAACGACAACTACTGAACTTCAGACTCCTGACTTAGGACAGGTGCAAACAAATGCAGCGGGTTTAAACGTTTTAATAGGTACCAACCTTCACCCTGATCTGAAACAATAGTGTCACATCACAACATAGAAAGACACACTATAAAATATCAATTGAAATGGCTTAACTCAATCAAAAGACATATTAACACAAGTGAACATACACTGAACAAATAAATTTGATCTATGATACAATGTAAATACAAAATCAATAAAATAAGGGGTGAATAAATAAAGGCAACAGTAGTATACCACTGTGAGATGTTAAACAATTTCCAAAAAACAACAACAACCTTGAAGAAAAAGCTGCCAAATACAATAATATACACAGGTAAATGAAAAGAATTTTGTTGTAAGGTATACAGTTTAAATTGAGAACGGAAATATTTTTACAAATTTTGTTGTTCATTGTACGAAGAAGTGAAAATTAATAGTCATAACAAACACTTATCAAAGCTGGTATATAGACGAGATATAACCCTGGAGAAGTAAACATTAAATAACAAAAAAGCATTACAAATAGTATCAACAGGTCAAATTAACAAGAAAGTACGATTTGCGAGTACTCGCAGTTACTGACAGCTAATTTAAAGCCAAAAACAATTAATAATAAAAAATCATGCATCAGAAACTAAAATCAACTAAAACACATCCCAAGGATTTAGTATTTTAACGTTATGGACAGTCAAAGAAGACATGACTTGTTCAATGCCAAAAATAAATGTATCGACAGGCAGTAGGAAAGTTGGGAGTTAACCTCTTTATAGAAAAAAAAAACGAACGTGGGTGTGTCTTTATACATCCCGTTTGAAAAGAATACAAATTTATTTATGTTTTAATTAACTGATGACAAAATCGATATTTGTGCCAATGTTAACATTGGTAAGAAAACCTTTACTAATAAGTTTGTTTAAATTTTCGATGAGTTCACACGGATCACATAGTGATTTTCGCGCTTTTAGTACAATATTACCGTAAAATTTAGGATGTGAAGTACCGTTTTTAATAAGTTTCCTACAGGTACAGCCCAATTTACTAATTGAATCTTTGTATCTATGAAAGAATTTAGTAACAGTTTTAAGTAATTTATGGTAAAGAAATCCCTGATTTAATAATTTACCAGTGATGCATTGATTACGTTCGTTAAAATCTATGACATCACTACACACACGGGCATAACGAACGAGTTGGGATATATAAACACCGTATGATGGAGCCAAAGGAACATCGCCGTCTAAAAAAAAAGGAAAATTAACTATAGGGAATGAAAAATCGTCTCTTTTGTCGTAAATATTAGTATGGAGTTTCCATTTAGAAATTGAAATGTCTAAATCTAGAAAAAGGACAACTACTGTTGTTTATGTTAGATTTAGTTAAAGTAAGTTCCTTTCGGGTAAATTTCGGTATTTTATATTTAGAGAACTCTGGATTATTTAACGAAAAAATATCATCAAGATAACGGTAGGTATTGTTGAATGTATCAACCAAATGTAACAATGACGTGTCTTTACTGAGTTTAGTAATAAATAATAGGAATAAATCTGCAATTAAAGGGGCGCAGTAAGTGCCCATAGAAATATCTACTACTCGTCGATACACTTTATCGCCAAAACGTACATATATGTTGTCCAGGAGAAAATTTAAAGCTTCAATAATCAATGATAATATCTTCACATTTCCAGTAAGTGTATCTAGCATACTTTCCTTTTTCGTTACAGAAAAAGACTGTAAACGAGTAACAGCAAATACATTTGCAATGAGATTTTTCAAAAGACCATTTAATTTAATATGAAAACTTTTTCTTGATAAGATTGTGTGGAAGTGTAATGTAGTATGTTCACTTTTGAAATTAAATTTGATAGAGAAAAAAAAATATCATTTTAAATGAAAGCGATATCATTCTAATTATTATTTAATGGGGACATCTTTGTATACATATGGTTGTCTTTCTGATATTGTTTTTTTTTTGTTTTACATCTAACCCCAGTGTTTTATTAATTTTGTATTTACATTGTATCATAGATCAAATTTATTCATTCAGTGTATGTTCACTTGTTTTTGTTAATATATCTTTTTATTGAGTTAAGCCATTTCAATTGATATTTTATAGTGTATCTTCTTATGTTGTGATGTTACACTATTGTTTTAGGTAGGGTGAAGGTTGGCGCCTAGTCAGGAACCTGATGTTCATTGGTTGTCGTTTGTTGAAGTGGTTCATAAGTGTTTCTCGTTTCTCGTTTTTTTATATAGATTAGACCGTTGGTTTTCCTGTTAGAATGGTTTTACACTAGTAATTTTTGGGGCCCTTTATAGCTTGCTGTTCGGTGTGAGCCAAGGCTCTGTGTTGTAGACCGTACTTTGACCTATAATGGTTTACTTTTACTCATTGTGACTTGGATGGAGAGTTGTCTCATTGGCACTAATACCACATTTTCTTATATCTATTGAACATCTCTATATTTAGTATAAAGCAGCCAAAACGTAGCAAAAGAATTCAACTGACCATGTATTAATTTGTGTAATCGATTCATGGACATTCCTAACATCTATATTAATAAAGTATAACTAAATTGTATATATGGTCGTCCCTTGTTAGTGTTGAAACTTCTCCTTAATGATATCAATGGGTTCATCATATAAACAATGAAAATGTTATTTATATACATATACATATATACACATTTTTATATAATGACTTGTGTCAACATTTTTTAGTAACTGTTTATGTTTTAACTCCACTTTAAGCGCTCTTAACTATATCTTAACCGTAACTTTTGTATTGGTTGAGGAGGTTGGAATACCCGGAGAGAGCCACCGACCATCGATCTTCAATTAAGGTTATGCATTTTATTAATTTTCATAAAAGTATACACACCCACTTCACATGTGTTGTCACATGGTTCACATAACGCTGCATCACCAGGTACTTCGTCACTAGTTCCTGAAACGAAAAACAGTTATATAAGAAAAAAATATGAGTCCTTAGTTGATATGAACATTATATCTTGCTTCACAATACACATGTAAATATTTTGTCTTTATTGACAATTTTGATTTAAATACCATCTGCTATATTAACTTATTTAAATTGTTGGCTAGTTTCAATGAGGACAATTTGCTTTGTGGCGGTGGATTTATCACCATAGAGAGGTTCCTAATACTGATGTTAGTTTTACAGAAAAATGGGCAAATTGATCTACTAGTGTGTTGTAGTTGTAATTTAACACAATTGGCTATGAGTTCACAAATAGCTAAAAACATCTAAAATTGGTTGTCAAAACAGTAAAATAGGTGTGGTCACAGGGTTCACTGCCCACTTGCTTACAAAGGGTCGGACCAATAACTTCGAGTCCCTAGACTGACAGTATGCATGATATTCGGTCTCAATGCTTAGTTGAGATATACCATATCGTCACTCATTAACCTACTTAAAAGAAAAACCTTGTAATCAGCCAAAATCAGCTGTTCTTTTGCGCATAGAGATCATTTTTGAGTTTGACCATACGTCCAGGAGCTCTTTAAGTTCTATCCCGTTACATTGAAAGAAGATATTGACTATGGATATTCGCCAAATGATCGGATTATAAACGTGACATTGGACAAATGTTGGAGCAATCTTATACAAAAAATGCGACTGTAAAGTATAGCAAGCAGGTTCTCAAGTGCTAAATTGTATGAACATCAAGAGTTATGGCTTCTGTTTGGTATAAAAGTGCTTTCACTTAAAAAGCAAATCATGAATCAAGAATAAAAATATTGTAATAATAACATGAATAAATAGATTCTGAATTGTGTAAAAAATAATTGCAAGTCTCAGAACAATACTGAGTTTATCCGGCTTCGATTGCTACAATAAAATGTGGCCTTTTACATGAACAAAATTCAAATCAATATATTTATATGAACAATATTGCAATTAACTTCTTTAAAAGAAACGTTGACAGTTGATTTTTATGATCTTTATTTTATATTTAGATTGTGTAATGATCTTTTTCTGTATTTGTACTTTATAATACAATACTAGTATTTGTTTCAATGAGCAATGTACACATGTGCCAATTTATCAAATTCACATCATTAAAATGTTTTGTTTTCGTTTAAGACGAGATTTTGAAATCAAAATATATATAACATTATGAAAAAATAAAAAACCGCAGAAACACTGTAAAGTGTTTGCTAACTACGGAGTTTAACGAGTGTTTGATATTTGAAATCCCTTTCTGCATTTCCATGTTACACAATAGGTAAAATCCCCTTAGAATATAAACTCATTGTACCCTTGTGGTAATTCATGCATAGCTATAAGAATACGAATATGTACCATAGAACTCAGAAGGTAAATGCAAGCATTTTGATTGGACGTTGTAAAGTTGTAAATTGTGCTTAATAAGAATCGACTATAAGTCGAAAAATAAAAAACACCAGAACTATAAAAGATGTCCATAGTACACCAAGCTCAGTTCGAACTGCCACTTTTCGATGTTCATAGCACGGTGAAATGTGAGTTAACATCCTAATTTTGGATATTTTTGAAATATTTAACACTTGTAAACTTGAAATCTTTAGAGGGTATCAAATCAATATGACTACAATTTAACGATGAACTACCGTTATCAATGGAGACGGGATGGACACACAGACTAATAAATAATGCCCTCACTATCATAGGCGGGAATTAATATGCACAGTCAAGCTACCATTATATGTATGCTTGCCATTCTGGAAAACCTGGGATCGACTAGGGTTTTTGGTTGGATTCAGGTTGTTCAGTGTTTAGCTTTGTATCTAGTGTTTTGTGGACTTGTTTGTCATTTCGTCTAATTTGTTTGTTTTATTTGTCATGGTTTTGTCAGTTTCCCTTTGACTTTGAATTCGTACGCTTCTTTTTTTTTATAGTATATGTATATAAATAAAGTTTACCTTGTCTTCTTAATGTGCGAATTTTCGGTGAGTCTGTGTATATACAAAATGTACTACACATCGGAGCATCATCATCTGGTGCGTTTCCTCCTTCTGACGCAAACACTCTCTCATTCGGAGTGACCCCAGTAAAAATATCTTTAAAAAGAAAACAATGTGTATGATATAACGGTTTATAAAGCTGAGGAGGAAGACTTTATAATCCCCCTCTCAAATGTATTACCTAATTTTTAAATGTTTATTATAGACGGAATCCTTTGATTTGGATAAAGTTGTTTGTATTTGATATGCACTGCTTTTCGGAATATTCCTAGGATTTGTGTAGATGGAACATTCTCATGGGCAGCATGCACAAACATTGGTTTCGTGTATAAAATAATAAAAAAAACAAGTTAATAGTTGTCTGCCAATCAAAAGAGTTGAATTCTCGAGAACAGGTATATTTGAATACAAACGAGACAAAAGCTCGTCATAAAACGTTTGTAATAATTCCATATGAGGCTTGCAAAATGTTGTTAATTTGATTGATTAATTATTTTGTCTTTTTAAATGCGTATTCGTGTCTCATGCATGTAGCTACATGCGCTTATTCTTTTTTTTTAGAAGATTCAAAGGAATTTACATGTATATGTTAATTCAATTTATATCATTATAACCATTTTTATTTTTTTATGACAAGTACATGTACTTTGATATATATATATATATATATATATAACTTTATAATGATACATAAATAATATGCAAAACCCTAAAATGGCTGAGCGAGACTGTTTTAAATACAAAACCTCTATCGAAAACTTTTTCAAACATCAATATTTTTGTAAGGGCAAAGCTATCTAAAGTTTCTTTAAATTTATTTTCATATTTTGTTTTTCCTTCCGAGCATTAATACATGTAACAATGTGCTGATATTTGCATTCAAAACATGCATTTTTGAGTAATTCCAGTTTCATTATCAGGTATTTTCATTTCTTAATATCCATCATTCTTTTCTAAGGTGTATCGGACGTGCATATGTGTATATTTCCTTTGTTGGTCAAGTGGATTTATTGGAAATACAGAGTACAGGAGCAGTTGAAACAACGTCGCATAAACATGTGATCAAATTTCACTTAGGTAAGGACACATAATTGATACCGCAAACTTGCAGATCCAATATTGTTGGGCTGTTTTTGAGACAACCTATTTCATGTATTTGTAATGTGTAGTGTCCGACCTATTTTTAACTGTTTAGTCCTTGGTTATCAAGAGAGTATATCAGTTGTGAGGTTGTAGACGTATATGATAAAAACACATCGACGTTGCTACATGGAAGGTATTTATCAGGTCTGCTAGGTACTCTCGAAAATACCACTTTATATCATGTCCACTGTTACGATTTCATGAAGCCGACATGAGAAAAAAAAAACAGCATTCGACTAACACAAACTGAATTTAATACAGTTAAGAAGGAGTTGCTAATTCATGACATCAGCATGAGAACAAATCCCGCTGAGGGTAGGACAAACTATTTGCTACCGCAAATTTATAGATTTTACATTATTGGCTAAGATTGAGACGAAGTATATGTTATATGCAATGTTTGTCAGCTATGTTTATACGATTAAGAATGTTAGTCGTACAATTGACTTTTATGCGTCGTAAAACTATAGCATATACACTCATCTGCCTTTTTATACTAGTCGTCCCTTCTATGCTGATAATTTTCACTGTTATTTAGTATTTATAAATGAAGTCCCATACCTGACAAAAGGTAAAAGTAATATAAATCGTTGGTAACTTTTGTCAATTTCATACAAAGATATAGCCTTCTGCTACCTAAAAAAGGTCCAGTGGTAAAGCTTGTGTCACTTCTGAAACATATCATAAAACATATACATGCAGGAATAACAATCACAAATATATTTATATTTATTACATTGGTTGCAATGAATTACATTGATTTCCCATTGTAATGAAAACCGATAATTTCACATGTGAAATAAACGTGTTTATTTCACTCCTCTGACGTCATACAACAATAGGCGTTGTCAAGACGTCGATTACGTCGGATCAAAACAAATTGTGAATGCGTAGAAAATGATATAGTTCCTTACATTTTCTACTTTAATTTTATAAAAAAAGCCATTTGCCAATGTAATAAAAAGAATAACTAATCAAAGAATTCAAATATCGAAAAATATTCGACTCGTGACCGAACAACACTGATAATTAACTCATGCGCTACGCGCATTCGTGAATTAATGTGTTGTTCGGTCACTCGTTGAATATTTTTCTCTATTTGAATTCTTCGATTTGTTATTCTATAATTATTAACATAAACGGTACCAATTGTATTGCACCATAAGCACATTTCGACAAGTAGTGTCTCAACAATGATGCCCGAGGCCAACATATTTGAAAAGTTAAAACCTTACTCGAAAATTAAAGAGCTAATACATGTAACACCCAAAATGACAAAAACGAAAGCAAAATCCAGGCAAAGATTCAGAGCTTTGCATGAGGGAGGTATAATCCTTAATAAAAAATAATTTCCAAAATGTTTTAATAGCAAATTTTTACAACACAATATCGTCATGTTCATTCCAGTACTGAAGTGAAAGTCATACAGTATAGTACATGTTACATCAAACATTACAACAAGTTTAAGCTTTGTTTTCCCTTACGCTTCAAAATTGAGATAATAAAAATGTTTGGAGTTTGACATTTGTTTAGTATGGTTTTTCATATTGTGCGTTTTATCAGAACAATTACTTCTTTGCATGAACCGATGTCAGAGAGTCTAGATGGGGTATCTAAAATGGTATTCTTGGAGTGTTTAGTATTTTAGTATTTGTTTAATAAATTATTCTCTTTTATATCTACCATGCTTTTATCTATCCTTTGTGTGTTTGCCTATTATTCTTTTTTTCGTAAACATCACCAATGTTCTCATAGTAGAGCGGTTGGATACTCGCAGGATTAAAACAAATATAGCCATGCAACTGCTTGAACTATTATTAATCAATGTTATAGATATCAAACCTTTCGTCATACTTTCCTGGACTTGTAATTCATATTCAGTGTCCTGACACGTTTGAGTCGTTGAATATTTTGTAATATTAAGACGTTTATTTTGGCGGATTTTAATTTTTGCAATTCATCTAGCACATAATGTTTTATTTAATTTAGCTTTTTTTTGTCATTGAGTCTGATTTGCCATAAAGATAAAGTTTACACAAGGGGACATTTTTGCCATTTTATTGTAAATGTAAAAATAAACCCTCAGAAAATATTTTTGTTTTGAATGTGCATGAAGTAAAATTAACACTTTTGAATTAACGGCCATTTTCAATTACAATAAATACCAAGTTGTGTTTGTCGAAAACGGTGGCGGCTACTACATTCGGTTATAGTTTTGATTTAGACCTGTTGAATATTGTTCAACAAAAAGACTCTATAAACACAAACAAGTAACCCAAGTAGCATTACGTCATATCAAATTCTGTATAATAATTCAGATTTGGTTTTTGATCAAAATTTAATATCACAATTATTAAATCTTGAAAAGGATATTTTGCGGACCTCAGACTTTTTATCTTGATTTAATAATGTTGATATTAAATGTTGATGAATACAATAATTGTAATAATCATCTTTACAAAACTAACACCCAAAAAGATTGCTAAAAAGTGGTGCTATACGAACTAGACATTTTTTGAAAGGATTAATAAGTAATGGTCTGTGTCTATTTATAGGTTCTTCGCTTGAAAAAAATTGAAAAAAACTCTTTATAACGGTCATGCCTCCGAAGCTGTTTTCTGGATTTATCTTCATCGAGAACATTTAAAGAAAGTATTTGAAAGCAACGGATATGTACGAACCGAAACAGTTAAAGAGCTTTATCACCAAAAAGGACCTACAAATAATAGCCAAATCCATTATAGGAACAAAGCAAACATATCTTTTATCGGTAAATTTTAATCGGTCGGTGGCAAATGTGTTACAACCCATAATGGCATATTTGAATTACTATTTAAAACACCACACTGATAAAAAAAAAAGAAGCAAATTTGTAACAATCATAAATTTGTATTTGTGATTTCCTTGATTCCGGCTAATCCATGAGGTCTAGGGGACACTTTCCCAATAATGTCACTAAAAATTAAAATAAATCAACCTTTTTAAAACATTAACAGGTTTACAAGGAACCCTGTCGAATCCTAGGTCTTGAGACAAATTCCATAAGAAAAAATTCAAAGAAAAATAAAAGACATATTTAAGAAATTTCTTTATGAAACCAAGATTTGAAAGAATGTCATACTGTGCACAATTATAGTTATAAACTGTTACTGTGACAATTGACCTTTGACTTTAACATCTTTTGGTTTCCTGCTTTCACTTTTATTCGATAAATAAAATCCTACAATTGTACTCCAAGAAATTACCAAGAAACAATGAATATGATGAAATATATATAGATATATTTATAAGTCTAAATTGAAAACAACGTTCAAACCTATGATTGCGTTGGATAAAAACCGCAATTTTTATACGTGTGCATGCAAAACAAATTTCTTGGTAGAGTGGTCTAAATACAGTACAAACAACATTTTCCAAAAGACCAAAAAAGTGAAAAAGTATATTTAAACAAAACGCATTTGACTAACAGGTCGAACAATGGATGTTCTTAAACCCTGCTGACTGCCATTTGCGATTGCCAAATAAACAGATCACAAGATGTAACAAAAATGGATCTTTATTATTAATTTAATACCAAACAGAAAACAATAAACTTGCGGAAAAGAGGGTATACTGCAAACATGAGGTGCAAAAATTTGTACACCATATCTGGATCTCGACAATTAATGTCTCTTCAGTGATGTTAGGAATCGAAACGGTATTTGGAAGGCCATATAATTTACCTCAATTTAGGATAGACTCTTGAATTTTGAAGAGTCGAAATAGGATGGACGAGTCATATAAACCCGAAGGCAAATATAATTCAAGCCCAAACGAAAAAATATAAATAAGTCTAAATTGAAAACAACGTTCGAACCTATGATTGCGTAGGATAAAAACCGAAATTTTTATACGTGTGCATGCAAAACAAATTTCTTGGTAGAGGGGTCTAAATACAGCAAAACAACATTTTCAAAAGACCAATGAAGTGAAAAAGTATATTAAACAAAACGCATTTGACTAACAGGTCGAACAACGATATATATATATATTTCATCTGATGTATCATCTGTGACCTTGACCTTTAACCAGTTTTTCAGACAATCGAAATTGTTCTTCTTTACCTTTTTATATATTTAACCTATATAGGTTTATTTTGAATTCGGTTCAAAAGTAAAATTATGTGTTGTACAGCATCCTGTCCTGTAGAATAATTTGTGAATTTAGGTTAAATTCTATCCATCGGTTTGTTAAGGTGTGGATAAACGGTGTGAATCTGACGACAACGCGGATGACAAGGACGCAGGACGACATATATTATCCCGATGACGTATTTGTCGTTCGCATTCGCATTAGGTACATATAACACAACAAACCCTATGTATCGTCCTATGAACATATGTGCAGTTATATGCTTATTTTTGTTGTTTGGGTACTGTCTCACTGATGTAATGTGTCAATCCCTTTAAATTGTATCATGTACGATGACAAGTTTTTAAAATAAATTCTGACATATTTCTTACTTGAAAACTACAATTGTCTGTGTGTTAGAGATGTTTAAACTATTAATGCAAGTCCAATCGTCGATTGTTGTTCCATAAGCGTTTAAATTGATGACAGAATTTTGTAACGTTGTAGTTGCGATGTTGAGAATTGTCGATTGTTCTGAATTGTCTGATGCTTTTGTGTAATTATATTCCCATGCTGCATTCTTTAGATCTGTAGGCAAATATTTAGCACCATCTGAAAATTAAAAAAAAAACAGTTCAGAAAAGAGGGACGAAAGATACCAGAGGGAGAGTCAAACTCATAGATCATTTCATCGCTAAAAAAAACAAAATGGACAAAACAACGTAAATTAATTTTCGATAGACATCAGCTGCTTACTTTTGACAAAAAATCTAACAAGTACAAAAACTCCTAATCATGAACTTTACATTATAACTTCAAATCATTTTAAATCGTTAACAATTGTGGAAATAGTCTTAGATTATATCGATTATCTCCGTAAATAATAGTTTTAATAGTTTGTATACTTTGAAATGCAACTGCCTGTGGTCATTCAAGGACACTTAAAAATCCAAATGTCATGACTATATATCAGATACGTTAAACAATATGACACAAGGTGTATTCCCTTGTTAAAAAGAATGAGTTGAACACTTATAAATTTAAATGTCAATTGTTCGTGACCAACTAAGAGATATTCCTTTTCAGAATGTAAGATATATGATTAGATAGAAGTAGAATGCATTGAAAAGCAATTAAACAATCATAAAACCCTTTACAAAGGATCAAAAACACAAAAATCGCTATCAAGAAAATGACCTTGAACTTTGACCTTTTGATATTTCTCAAACTCATTGGTCCCCAATGCCACTACAAAAGACCCGATGGGTCTATGACCTTTTGTTCAAGAGTTAATGATAATTTTGTCTTTGCAGACACCGTTGATCTTTCGGAAAATGTCAAATCTCTTCTGTCGAATTTACCAAAGTTATTGACCCAGACATTTTCCACTATCTAAAATTTTGTAAGTATTATGGTTTTTGAGATGATCCTGTAACAAGATGTAAGTTCAAAGGTCAAAGTCAACCTAAAATTGGATTTGAGGTATTTTCAAGGTCACAGGAATTGATGATCATTTGTGGAGATTCTTGGTGTCTACGACATACGGTTTCTGAGTTTAAGTGGCCAAACAACATTGGTTTATTTTCAAAGGGCTTAAGCCTACCAATGAGTCTTTGAATCTTTTCGGTCCAAAGTAACAAAGATATAGAAATTGAACTTGAACAAATTCCATCCATCGGTTGTTTTCTACCTATTACGGTAACTGTGTTCATCTGTTAACAAGGTTGTTTTGTTTTGGGTAAATAACGCAGGTCCGACAAAATTTAATGACTCACAGGGTGAGTTCAGGATAGGTATTTGTGACACCGATACAAAGTGTTAACCTGAAAGCTTGATGTCTTACGGTGACGGAGGCAAATCTTGTCAAAAGTTGGCAAATGAATAATAATAATGATTAAAATGTAAATCGTTCGTGAACAATTGAGAGGTCGTTCCTTTTCATAATGTAAGTAATGTGTTCAAAAAGACGTAGAATGCATTGAAAACCTTCTAAACACACATACAACACTAAAAAAAGAGGGTAAACAAATACCAAATTCGCTAATTAGGACATTTCCTTGACCTTCATTAAGGTCATTGGTCCTCGATGTCAATGCGAAAGACCTCATGTGTCTAAGACCTTTGGTTTGAGAGATAAAGCTAATTGTTTTTTTCAGAACCGATTAATGGATGTTATGGCCCTTAAAAAAGGTCAAATCTCTTTGATAAAAATGTAACAAAGTTGCACCTTAATGACCCAAACATTCTCCACAATTCAAGCCTTATGTATTCATATTGATTTCTGAGACATCCAATAACAAGTATTAGGTCAAAGATCAAGATCAACCTCAAAATTTGACCTTGAGGCATTTTCAGGGTCACATGAATTGATAATCATTGGTGAAGATCCTAGATGGTCCCGACTTACGGTTTCTGGGTATGAGTTGGCAACCGACATCGGTTATTTTTTTAAAGAACCACGGTATGGCAGTGAACAAATTCCATCATATGGTTTTTGTCTACCCATTACAAGTATGGTGTTAATCCCATTACAAGGTTTTTAGGTTTTGGGCAGATAACTCCGGACCGACAAAAAAATCAAATCTCTTCGGTCAATATGTAACAAAGTTGCACCTTAATGACACAAACATTTTCAATTAAATGGAAATTAAAATGTCAATTGTTCGTGAACAATTCAGGTCGGAATTTGATGAGACTGTCGTACAAGTGAGAGGTTTAGCACTATAAAACCAGGTTCAATCCACCATTTTCTACATTTGAAAATGCCTGTACCAAGTCAGGAATATGACATTTGTTGTCCATTCGTTTGGTGTGTTTTGTCATTTGATTTTGCCATGTGAATAGGGACTTTCCGATTGAATTTTCCTCGGAGTTCAGTATTTTTGTGATTTTACTTTTGCCTTTTCATAATGTAAAATATATATTTAAACAGACGAAGAGTGCATTGAAAAGCTTTAAAGCACTCATAAAACGCCTAGAATAGGATAAAAAAATCGCAATCCAGGACATGACCTTGACCTTTGACCGTATGTACGTTTTAAGGTCATTGGTCCCTGATGACATTGCAAAAGACCCTGTGCATGGGTCTAGTATCTTTGTTTCAAGAGTTAAAGCTAGTTTTGTCTTTTCAGAAACCGTTAAGGGGGGTTATGCCCTGAAAGAAAGATCAAATCTCTTCGGTAAAATTTTAACAAAATTGCACCTTGATGTTCTAAACATTTTTTACTTTTCAAGATTTCTGTAAGTATGATGGTTTTTGAGATATCCCATTACAAGTTGAAAGGTCAAAGGCCAAAATCAACCTTAAAAAACCTCAGAACACATATATTACCCACAAAATATGGTAAAAAACACAAAATTAGCTATCTAGGACATGACTTTGACCTTTGACCGTCTGACCTTTGTCAAGGTCATTGGTCCCATATTATATGTTGTACTGTTACACCATTGTCCATGGATAAGGGGAGAGTTTGGCGTGACAAAAATTGTTAACCCCATTACATTCAGTATGTGCCTGTCCCAAGTTAGGAGCCTGTAATTCAGTAGTTATTGTTTGTTGCTGTAAATCATATTTGATTTTCGTTTATTATTTTGTACACAAAGGAGGAAAACATATACTGGGGAATCGGCAAGTAGTGCATTTACATTTTAATTTTGTGAAATGTTCCCCATGAGAACACATTATAAATGTTACCATTTAGTAAAATGTTACTCCGGGCAGTTTTGTAATGCTCCTATCTGGAACACACAGATTAATGTGCCTCTTTGGATCACATATCAAAGATTGTCTTTTAGAGAAATCTTCCTCTAGGGAACAATGTAAGATGTGGACTTCTTTTAAAAAAATCACTTTGTCGAAAGTTTTAAATGAATCAATAATAATTTTCTCTGTTGCAGTATTTTCCTCAAATATCAGCAAGTCTTTAGTTCTAAAATACTTACTGCTAGGAGGTTTAGTATCTTGATGCTGTTGTTGGGTCGTCGTTTCTGTTTTAATATCTAGAATTAATAACAAATGAAATAATTGTTATCACTTTTAGACACATATCAAAATATTATCATTTAGTCTAATGTGTTGATGTTGTACTGTTACACCACTGTCCACGGATAAGGGGAGAGTTTGGTGTGACAAAAATGTTTAACCCCGTCACATTCAGTATGTGCCTGTCCCAAGTTAGGAGCCTGTAATTCAGTAGTTATTGTTTGTTGCTGTTAATCATATTTGCTTTTCGTTAATTATTTTGTACACAAAGGAGGAAAACATCTGCTGAGGAATCGGCAAGTAGTGCATTTACATTTTAATTTTGTGAAATGTTCCCCATGGGAACACATAATAAAAGTTACCATTTAGTAAAATGTTACTCCGGGAAACATTGTAATGCTCCTATCTGGAACACATAGATTAATTTGCCTCTTGGAATCACATATCAAAGATTATCTTTTAGAGAAATGTTTCTATAGGGAACAATCTAATATGTGAACTTCTTTTAAGAAAATCACTTTGTCGAAAGTTTTAAATGAATCAATAATAATTTTCTCTGTTGCAGTATTTTCCTCAAATATCAACAAGTCTTTAGTTATGAAATACTTACTGCTAGGAGGTGTAGTATCTTGATTCTGTTGTTGGGTCGTCGTTTCTGTTTCAATATATAGAAATAATAACAAATGAGATAATTGTTTTCACTTTTAGACACACATCAAAATATTATCATTTAGTTTAATGTTCTGATGTTGTACTGTTACACCACTGTTCACGGATAAGGGGAGAGTTAGACGTGACAAAAATGTTTACCCCGCCACATTCAGTATGTGCCTGTCCCAAGTTAGGAGACTGTAATTCAGTAGTTATTGTTTGTTGCTGTTAATCATAAAATTGAGAATGGAAATGAGGAATGTGTCAAAGAGACAACAGCCCGACCATAGAGCAGACAACAGCCGAAGGCCACCAATGGGTCTTCAATGCAGCGAGAAACTCCCGCACCCAAAGGCGTCCCTCAACTGGCCCCTAAACAAATATGTATACTAGTTCAGTGATAATGAACGTCATACTAAACTCCAAATTACAGCATATTTGCTTTTCGTTTATTATTTTGTACACAAAGAAGGAAAACATCTGCTTGAGAATCGGCAAGTACTGCATTTACATTTTAATTTTGTGAAATGTTCCCTATATGAACACATAATAAAAGTTACCATTTAGTAAAATGTTACACCGGGGATCATTGTAATGCTCCTATCTGGAACACATAGATTAATTTGCCTCTTGGGATCACATATCAAAGATTATCTTTTAGAAAAATGTTCCTATAGTGAACAATGTAATATGTGGACTTCTTTTAAGAAAATCACTTTGTCGAAAGTTTTAAATGAACCAATAAAATAATTGTCTCTGTTGCAGTATTTTCCTCAAATATCAACAAGTCTTTAGTTATGAAATACTTACTGCTAGGAGGTGTTGTAATGCTCCTATCTGGAACACATAGATTATTGTGCCGCTTGGGATCACATATCAAAGATTAGGTTCAAAATTTGGGTTAAAAACTCGAACAAATTCAGTTATAGCACAAAAGTTAAGTTCCTGCAAGGTCTGATACTATCTGTGTGACGATTGAAATTTAATTAAGCAAGACACACTTAGTGTATGTACTCCTGTGTATAAGTCAATATTGGGATACTAAAGTTTTCATTTGCTGTCCTGTTCGTTTTTACTGTTATTTGCGTTTGCGTTTGCTTCTGTTTTCTCTTGTCGTCATTGTAGGTCCTACTTTTTAGGGTATCTTGCTGTCACCTCTTCTTTCGATTCAAGGCTTTATAGTTCACCCGTTTTTGGCCCTGTATTGTATGGTTAATAATCGGCAAGATATCACTCAATATAAGTATGTGAAAATGAACGGTTCAACTACTTGTGATACCTGAGATATAACTTATAAATGTACGTAAGAGATGTATGCATGTCATTGGGGATTTTCGATTTAAACTTAAATTCTAGTCTAGGAATCATATATGTGTAAATTTAGAAGACAACCTAAAAAAAAAACGAAAATCATGGTATTTAAATTCAAATGTATATTATTATTTGTTTTCAATAATTTCGATGTGAAGGGGGCTACTTCAAAACTTAATTGATATGGATGCCGCTGGGATTCTGTTATCCCACCCTTTCATATAATTTTTATTCTAAAATTGTATATCTTTGTGTAGGTAAAAATGTAACCTTTTTCCAATATTGGTTTGGTTTCGTCTGGTGTGCTGGAGAAGTGGAATACCAAATTCATGAAAGTGTAAAAAGAGGGAACAATTGTGGATAAAACACTGTCGGGAAAACCAAGAAAGATAACAGACAAAGAAGAATTAACATATAATACAACAAATATTTTAAAGTACATACAGCAAACCCACCCAAAACCGGCGAGACTTTCGGCTGTGAAAAAAATACAGGGCTTTTCATATAACAAGTAATAGAAACTATATTGACCTTTTCATATATTTCTGATTTTTCCCACATATTTACATACTTTTCAGTCTTTTCAAGCTGTAAAATATTACCTAATCAAGCGGCACGTCCTATTACAACTTGTATATATGAAGTGCCCCCAAAGCCCCCCTCCCCTTGGGTCAACGTTATACACCTAAATACCTTATGGTACAGAGAGAGAGAGAGAGAGAGAGAGAGAGAGAGAGAGAGAGAGAGAGAGAGAGAGAGAGAGAATATTGGTTCAATAGAGTTTATGTCTAGGATCGTAACTCGTTATAAGTCTATAAACTTTACAGTTTAATGCTTTGTGTTTTGGGTCAATGTTTTTCTTCTACACATATACCATATATTTCATTAAGTTTAAATTCTCTAACATGTCGTTTTTTTTACAGTTACATAAAGTCAAGATAAATTTCATATAAAGGCACGATCAACTGATGATGTAGTTGCATGAATCACACAAATAACTGAATTTCTTAAAGAAATAAAAAAAATCTCCAATTTAAAACAGAAACATATCAAGTCTTCTAGTTGTCTTCATTTTTTTTTCAGCCGAATCAACAATTTAAAATCTCAGATTAATGAACAGTATATTATTGAAATATACAAGCATTAAATCAGCAATGCAATGATGATTTCCCTTTAACATGTTTAAGAACAAGTAAATAAAGAAATATTATAATTGTATATTTGGTTAAATTTAATGTACATTTAAAATTATTCATGTCATCTAAAACATTTCCAAGTCATTTCATTTTGTTTAGGAGAACCTTAGATGTTTTGCAGGACAGAATTCCTCCGGATTTAATTAAGAGCAGCTGTTTCATCTAAAGTTGTAAGAAAACCCATGCTGTTTCTTTCAAATAAAAATTGCAAAGTTAGTAAACGTCTTCATCGAATTGATCCTTTCGATTTACACAAGGTCACTTCAAGTTGACATATTTCAAGGTCATATGTCGTTAAACCTAATACAAAAAACAGTTATCATGTACAAGTATAATGTTATATCGATGATCTCTATGATCGGTACATTATGTCTTACAAAGTTCGATTTTGTTTTGTTCTACCTTGACCAGATAGTTAGAATGATTTATGAATCTGGTACCATTTTAGGAATTTTGATTTATTGTCGGGCTTACTGTTTGATATTTGATTATGTGTTAATATTTGATTTTATTCCATATTGGTATTATTTTAGAACGTTTTCTCTTTATGAATTGGATTTTGAATAAAAAAAGCATATTCACCTGGAGAAAAGTGATATTCACCGCGCTGAACGTCACACGCTTTTAACTGTAACGTTATGGTAAAATATTTGATAAACAATCGGTTTTGGTAAATATTTGACTTTTGAATTTTGCATAATCACCTCATCAAAAGACAGTAATTGTATAATATTGATATCAGACGTGGTCATAATATCTTGTGATATTTAAGAGACAAGGTTTGTGATTGCATGGCCATAATATCAAGGGATATTTTATAGGCATGGCAATAGTGTAACTTTTAGTGTGTATACACCGTTTGTGTTTATATTGTCTTGTTATATGTATACATAGAATTATTTTATAATAACATGAGTTTTGAAAAATAATATTTATTTGAATACTGTACATTTTCAGTTATCCATAAATGTGGGAGATTGAAAAATTATCAAAAGCACCCAATGGACAGGAACCTTGCAATTCTACGAGAAAAACTACCATCTTATTGATTATCGTCAAAAGCAGATAGTACCCGGAGGAATAATCAGTACTCTTTCAATGCTTTCTGTAGGTGGTGTTTTTCACATATCATTTCGACGACTTTACCTCCTACAGACTATTATGTCAGTTTGTATTTAATTCATCTAGCGAAATAAGATAAATCCACTAGTACTGTAAATGAGGCTTTGTATGCTATAAGTCGGAAACACAAGTTGGCAGGAATTGATAACCTTGTAAATCAGATCTTGTGGTGGCAACTACAAAAGGGGACCATATATTGAAAGGTCACTTTGTTCAAAAGAAAAAAACCTATATATAACTATCACTCCTAAAATTTAACATAAAATAGTGATTAACTAAGAACTGGATCATTCTCATTTGAAAAATTTAAGCATAGTCAGTATGTGTTTACTTGCGTATGCTGGATTTTACATTATTTAGAACTGGCAAATTTGAGGTCAAATAACGTTACTTTTCATACAGATCACGTGAGGTTAATTTTAGAAACCTGTAAAACAATATACACAGTGAATGAAGAGATGTCGTAATTTCTAAGACTAGTAAAATAACATGTCCTGTGAATATATTACAAAACTATTCATTGGCAGGCAAGATTTCTACATGTTCTACAGACAGCACTGATTTTATACTTTGTCCGCTTCCATTTTGCAAGTTATCGAATTCTTACAAACTTCGTAACGGAAAACTTTCTTACTACTGCAAGAGAAATATTACTACAAGTTCAACATGATTTTTTTTCAAATACACAACATGCACAACGCTTCGGTTTACACAATTTACGTTCAGATGGAGCTACAGCAGCAGCTACTTCAAAAGTAAACTACTGTCTTTTTAAAAAAACAGGTTTTCGGATTTAGTTAATAATTGCTTGATGTTCGTTTGAGTCTTCAACAAATGAGTACATACATGAATTTATTAAAGGTATCCGAACACTTGTGTTTGTTTACTACATGTTTTAAAACATGTGGGTGTGTATGTTACATGTAAGGTGTTTTGATTTGCTGATGAAGTAAGATCAATACAACAGATATAACATATCTTTTTTGTCGATAGGATGAAATAAGGCCGAAATGCAGTATATTTATAATAATAGAATTTTGTTATGTTAATAGCACGAAATTTAATTTTCTTATTAGATGGTTTTACTTATGGCATGTATAATGGTTATTCGTAGCCCTACATACGTTCAGCAAAGTTCGTTAAGCCATCTTGAAACGAATGTAAATCTTGTAAAATATTAGACTATAAGCTAATATTTATCTTTTATCTTTGTAGCTTGTTTGCTGTCTGGTGTTACTTTAATTCTGAAGTAATGAGAGTCCTATCAATTTGATTTGACTCAGAGTGCTCATAAATACAGTTTGATTATACAGTCACATGTATGTTTATTCAGAACTTTCAAGGGTATCTTAACAATCTGTACATGTATATGAATCTAAAATGTTGATTTCTCATACAA